GTATCCCCACTCCAGGCAGAGGTGGGGGAGGGGGTATCCCCACTCCAGGCAGAGGTGGGGGAGGGGGTATCCCCGCTCCAGGCAGAGGTGGGGGAGGGGGTATCCCCGCTCCAGGCAGAGGAGGGGGAGGGGGTATTCTCATACCAGGGAGAGGAGGGGGAGGAGGTATCCCTACACTCGGCAGGGGAGGAATGAGCGATTCAGGAAGGGCAGGAGAGGCAGGTTGGACACCTGGTGGAGGAGGAGGAGGGGGTACACCCTCACCAGGCAAAGGTGGGAAAGGAGATAGCAGCATTTCTGCACCTGGCAGAGGATGAGGTGGGGGAACCATCATGCTCAAGCCAGATATGGAGCTGGAGGGCTCAGTGCAAGGCAGAGGGGGTGGGGGTGGGATGCTACAGCTGTTTTCAGAGGGTGAGAAGGCAGATTGTTCATGGCTGGTTTCAAAGTCAGTACTAAGAGATGGATGGGAAGGCTGTGATCCAGACTGTCCTTGAGCATCTGACAATGGATGGGATAGAGGTGGTAGAGGTTGTGATACACTTGGCATGGACTGAGGTGTGTCAAGCTGCACTGCTATTAGCCTTGGAGACACAATTAAGGAAATCTCTGAGCAGAATTTTGTCTGAGATCCAGAATCTGAAGATGGCATGGTTGACTCTGCACTCTCAGACCCCAGTGAGCATGGAGAGCACTCTGGCAGTGTTTTCACAGAAGCTACTGTTGGCAGTCCACCCTCTTCTGTGGGAGAAGTCTGTATTGATTTTGCCTCTAAAATCCTTTGATGTTGTGCATCCTTTTCTCCTAACCTGAGAGCTTTGAGATTGACATCTTCTGCAGGCATCACTCCATTACCAATCCCATGATGGCCCGTAGCCACCTCCATGTCCATAGAAGGGTACTGCTTCTCTAATTCTGCAATTTTGGTCCTCAGATCCTCAATGGTCTGTTCCAGCTGCTGTATCACAGTTGCCTGGCCCTCAGACTTCATGTCAAAAACATTCTAAGGGGTAACAAGAACAGGAATAGTTAAATAAAAAGCAAGGAAAAGATGAAATATCAAAAAAGACATAATATTAAGCAAAATCATGTTCATTTGTTTGTTTAACATATTTCCAAAAAGATCCCTTCACAGGAAGATACTATTAGTATTTTTATGCATCTCCTATATACCACTCTCAGTTCAAAGTGACTTACACACATTACCATAGATTCCTAAAGTTCCTTATTTGTTTAATCTTCAAGTGTGATAATTGAGAACAAGTATAACTAGGAGTCCTTGGATGATGCAAACAATGAACTCACTCGGCTGCTAACTGAAAGGATGGAGATTCAAGTCTACCCTGAGGCACCTCGGAAGAAAACCCTGGTCACCTACTTCCAAAAAAAATCAGCCACTGAAAACCCTACAGAGCACAGTTATACTCTGACATACATGGGGTCACCACAAATTAGAGACAATTTGACAGCAACTGGTTAGTTGGTAGTAAACGAGAGTCTAAAATCAGAGGTACCTGGTAAATAGATAAATAGAGCAGTCTGAAAGTGAAGCCTTAAAACCATTTTAAAGTCTTGATGAGTCTAGAATCCATGTTGAAATTTAAAGCTGCCTTTTCTACCAGCAAAGTAGGTCTGGTGTCACAGTGGTTAAGGCATTCAGCAGCTAACCAAAAAAGTCAGCAATTTGAACCTACCAGCTACTCTGTGGGAAAAAGATGAGGCAGTCTGCTTCCACAAATACTTACAGCCTTGGAAACACTATGGGACAGTTCTACTATGACCTATATTGTTGCTATGACTCAGAATCCACTCAATGGCAGTGGTGGGTTTGTAAAAGCAGTTCCTCTAATCTTGATGCTGACCTAACTTGATGCTCACCTAACCATGTATGGTAACCTCACCATATACCCTTAAGGACATATTCTTTTCTCTGAGGTCTGGCAGGTACAGGATATCACAATCTATTCCCAGAGGTCTTTCTATGGTCAAATAGATGCAAGATGTGATAGCTTATACTCAAAGGGTTTTGATGCACAACATTATCATTAAATGTTTGCAATGGATCCCCTGAAATAGACATGACTGAGAAAACAATTTTTACAGCAGGTTACCTGAAAAACCTGTCCTGTCATTGTCTGGTGAACCTCCTGTAATAAACTGAAGTGCACATATGCTCGTAATTATGTACCCTTAACCAATCATGTAATCACACATATATGTTATCTAGCTATTCCTGATAAGTCCTCACTCTAAGATATCCCATGATATCCTTTAAATCCTATGATTGTCTTTCAGCACATTATGATTTGGCAACTTTTTTCTCCTGCTCCAACTGTACAAAAATGATAATAGCAGAGATTCAGAATAGAGTCTTGTCAGTAAGCACCATGCTACTTCCCTCTAGCATCTAAGTGCTTGAAAAACTAGGTACAGCAGTTTGAATTAGGGATTTTTGTGCTCTGAACAGCTCACTGAATCAGAGTGTACCAAACACAGAAGAGCAGAAGTAGAGGAAAGGCACAGGGAGATTATTTAAGAAAGAGCTATCTGGTGGAAGATGGACGGGCAGCTGAGAGAGGCCACTGGAAACTTCTCTGCAGTGGTCACTGACTGGCAGGCAAGGACAGGCACTCTGGATCCCCATGAGCCAGGAAAGAAGACACCCTGTGCCAGCGTGCCAGTGACTACTCCAGTGTCTCAGTGGGTGGCCCCAGGAATCTGCCTCGAGCACCTGATTTTGTCAGTAATTTGGGTCATCCGGGTGCAGGCGGGTGCGTGCACCACAGCTGACGCTCAGTGAGAAAGCTCACTGTTGCTCCAGGGAGACGAGTGCCATCCGCTCCCAGTGGGTCACTGGGTGGGCTTGGGTCAGCCTGGGAGACATTGTGCTTATCTTTGTCAATGATAATGAGACTGCAGTTTGCTGGCGGATACTCCCCTGACTCCAACACAGCTGAAATAGTGCAAATCTTTGGCACCGCAGATAGGCAGTATCACAGAAAAACTCCAGAGCCATTAGTGGTCTGGCGGGATTGTGCCAGACAGGGCAGGGAGAGAGAGGGGGCCGTGGTTGAATGTGGTCCCGGGAATTGGCCTTGGATCAGCTCTTTGGCACTGGGGGGCCTTGGAGGCGGGGCCTTTGAGTGTGCCTGAGACTAGTGAAGGGTTGCGACCCCCTAATGATGGGAATTTTTCCTGGGATTGAGCTGTGGTCTTGTAAATGACTACATCATCAATAATAGCCTGCACAAAGTCCTAGAAACTGACCCTAGAAACACCAAGCTTTCCTTCTTCTGCTCCCACATTCTCCACCAGTAACTTCACTCTTTCAATAGAAGAAACTATATTCAGCCAATTATCATAAAACCTTCGGCTTCAAACTCTATACACTCTTTATGACAAACAGAAACACATATCCACATTCCACACAGTGATTCTACCATCACAAAGAAAACAGCAGAGTGACCCAGTATACCTGAATCAATAATAAAATAAAATATACCAGCTTCACCTTTTCAAAATATGAAACCATAAAACCAAGACAAAACAAATCAACAGGAAACCACCAGCTAGAGACAACAGTCTACTAGATTCCAGGGGCTTAAAAGAGGTTCTGCTTTCCAGTAACCCCAAGAACTCTCTGGACCTGCACTACTGAAAAGGCCCTAGTTTACACCTTTTTTTTTTTTTTTTCTCTTTTACCAGTTCCTGATTAAAAATTTTTGTTTCTTTTTCTTTCTCTTCCCCCCGCTTTTGTTTTCTCGTGGTTAACTCCGTTCCTTGTTGGTTATTTATTTATTTATTTATGCTTTTTTTTTTTTTTTTTTTTCCTTCATTATTCTCCTTCTCTATCTTTTATCTCTTAGTTCCCTATCCCCAGATATTGCTGGTTTTCCTGTTTTCTTCTTCTTTTCTCCTCTTTTTCCTTTTTTGGGTTACTGTTCCTGTGTGATTTCATGATGTACTTTTTTTCTATGTGCTTTTAGTTTTTTGATAGTTATTCAATTATAATTTTTGCCTAACAGAGTGGGAGACAGCAACACTACCCATAAGATACAAGTACATGACACCTCCTGCAACTTCACTTACTGAGCAAGAGCCAGCAACTCCTTCTCTACCAAAGGGCCAATGATAAAAAAAAACACCAAGGAGAGCCTGAATCACACTTAGCTGCTTTTCACAAACAATTAACAGAGATCTTAATGCAATACCACGATGCCGGGGAGACAACACACCATCACAGCCCACACAAAGAAGCAAGATAAAGTGGTAGGAACAAGGGAACAGGATACAGACCCAGAAACACATCCTAAGGAAGAAGCAGCACTAGAACTCTCTGATAAGGAATTCAAAGCAATGATATTTAGGTATATTCAAAGGATTGAGAAACAGACCAAAGAAAACACAGAAAAAAACTTAGAAGAATTTTGGAAGACAATAAAGATAAAATAAATGAAAAATTAGAAATGATTCTAAATCTACAGATAGAAATCCAGAAGATTAATACTAAATTTTTAGAAATAGATAAGACATTGAAAGTGGAGAGGGGTAGAATTGATGCAATGGAAGACAGAATAAATGAGATTGAAGACAAATACCTGAATACTTCTATGGAAAGGGATCAATAAGAAAAAAAAATCAAAACAAAAGGAAGAAAGCCTAAGGTTCATGTGGGATACAATAAAAAAAAAAGTAATCTACGTGTCATTTGAATTCCAGAAGAGGAAGAGAAAAACAAAACCACTGAGAAAATTGTCCAAAATAAAAAAGAGGAGAACATATCCATTCAGGAAGTCCAATGAATCCCAAACAGGATAGACCCCAAAAAGAAAATCACCGAGACATATCATCATCAAACTCATCAAAACCAAGGACAAAGACAGAATCCTGAAAGCCGCACGGGAGAAACAAAAAGTTACCTACAAAGGACAGCCAGTAAGAATAAGC